ACAAAAATGTTAAACATGTTTGATATTTACTTTGCATGAACAAGAGTTAAGTAGGGTTAGAAAAAAAAAATCAGTTACGGAAGACAATTTATAACTAATTTCAATTATTTTTAAAAAATTGGATGGATGTTACATTAATTTTTTAGTTTATCATATTTTTTAAGAAATTAGATCAGTGTTTTAAATTCATTTTTTAATAATTAAATTTTTTTTATTTATCTAAATTCATATTATATATAAAATTACAGTGTTATGTTCTAACTTGTTAGATTTTTGCGTCACATTGATTGACAAAGTTTTTTTTATAATTATGATTAATATTTTTTATTAATCTTAATTTTTATAATAAAAATATTTAAAATAATATTTTTTTAAATATAAATATTATTTTAAAGATATAAAAATATATTTTTAATTATTTTTAAATTTTTAAAATATATTATAATAATATTCTTTAATTATTTAATATTATTAATATTTATTTTTACATATTTTAATTTAAACTGCATTATTATTTTTTATATAAAATAATTTAAAATTTTAACTTTTTAATAAAATAATTTAAAAATAACAAACATTGTATAAAAGCTTCTATAAAGTATAATATAATTAATAAAAGTAAATAAATTTTCATAAAGTGTATTAATATAATACAATTGTACAGTAAAAAAAATTAATTTTATCTTAAAATTAAATTTGTAAATATATCAAGAATCAATTTATTTTAACAATTAATTTTAAATAAAATTTTAAATTAATTTAACATAAAATTAGATTTAAAATTAATTTAATATAAAATATTTAAAATTAATTTTAATCAAAATTAAATTTAAAATTATTTTAAAAACGTTAAAATAGATTGATTTAAAATTAAATAAAATCTGTATGATATATCGTCTATGTATACCAAAATCCAATCGTATGCAAGTTTGACATTTCAGAACAGAAGCAGCTATACATCAAATCAACAATGCAATGATTTCTCAATAGAAAATAATAATAATACAATGATTTCTCAGTTAAAGACTTGGGCCTTTTTTCTTCTTCTTTTTTTTCAATAATAGGTCTTGAGATTATTTTCTAATTCTCAAGTATTTCAATAATTATTTAAACAGGACAACATATAACACAAGTTCAATATACACATGTTTATATAATTTACACGTGTTAAACTTTATTGGTCTATCTATTTATCGCATATAAATTCATTAAACTTTCAAAACGAATTCATCTTTATTTGGTTGAAATTTATTATGAAAAAAAGCTTATAAAAAATTGATGGTATGCAAAATTAATTTATGATTTTTATGCTTTTTATTAACTATAATAAAACTTAATAAGATTTTTAATTTATTTTGTTTCATTAATGACACAAACTTTATTGTAATAAAAAATATATTAAATAAATATTGAATTAATCTGTTTATTCAAATATGCATGGTATGTGCTATAAAAATGCATCATAAGTGAGGAATTCAAAGGACGATGTTTGGTACTTCGTGTGGAAAAAAAAATGTTCTAAAGAAATCATTACAAATGAGTTAATAAAATTATTATATTTTTTGGGTTACTTGTACAAGTGAACTTCTAACATATAAATAAATATTTTCATGAGTTGTTCACATGATAAAAAAAAAAAAGTTGAATTATGATTTTTTGTTTACTTAAAAAATATTTTTGTCCCTTCATATTTTAATTTAATTTTTTAATCCGAAATAATAAAATAATTAATATTAAAGTTGGGGTAGTAATATATATTTGTTAAAAGTATAAATATATTTTGAAAAGATAAAAGATTATTTAATGTGTACTTGGTGAATGTAAAATTAGTAGAGAGATCTCATAAAATATAAGAAAATATAAATAAACATAACAAACGATTAAAAAAAAACAAAATAGTATTATAATTATTTAGAAAATAAAAATAAAAATATGCTATGATGTCATGTCTGAAGAACAAATTGTGAAGTAAAAGATAGCGACGTAATTTTGAATCTCTACCGATGTAAAAAATTTGAATAAAAAAACCTACATTGTCAGAAAATGACAGAATAAACATTTACTTATAAAAATAAATGTATAATTTATAAAATATATAAAAATTATTTATACAAGTCATAAACTTATATTTTATTTTAAAATTATAATATCAAATATAAGTACTTATTGACAACCTTCTTAAAAAATCAATTTTTTATGCATATTAAGTTTTTAATCAATACATTTTGAACACTCGTTAAGAAAATATCTACTTTCACAAGAGCTTTGAGTCAGAGTTTTGAAATGAGATGATTCAACGATAAATCTTATCCGTTTAATTTAAATAAATTGCTACTAATTTATAATTTGACAAAGTGTTTTTTGGCTTACTCCTCTGCCTTAAAAGTCAGCTGATTATTCAAAATGTCACATAACACAGCGCAATTAATTTGAAATATTTACCATCCACCATCAATCACATATTCCCCCAGTCCAATCAATTCCACATATATGCGATATTTCAATTCCACTGGCTAATTATGCTTTTATATATATAAGTAAATTTTTTATATTAATGTAAATTTAAAATTTTTATATTTAATTTAATTTTTTTATTTAATTTATGTTTAATAAGCTATAATTTATTACTCTATTAAATATAAATTAAATAAATAGTAACTTAAAAATAATTTTTCATTAACGTTAAGTTATATACATGTGTTCCATAGTCAGATAGTATCACAACCACGTTTACGTTTCACATGCAAAACATTACGTGATGATTAAGCTATTTTGTATTTAGAATAATATCTGTCTTATATTATATCTTATACAAAGAAATATGAGATTCACAGAAAACATACAGAAGAATGAAAAAGAAAAAAAAAATATATGATAGAATTAATGTAAATATACATACATTTAAAAACTTGTTATAATTTAAAACAAATAAAAACAGTTAATTCATGTAATAAAAATTAATGTAAATATATTTGAATATATTTTAATAAAATATTGATGTTTAGAAAATAAAATAAAAAATAAATAAATAAATAAATATATATATATATATATATATAATACTTGATTACATGATCCTTTATTTTATTATTACTTTTCCTTTCACTTAATAGAAATAAGGAATTAAAACTGAAAAAGCAATATTCTATCTTTTAATATAAAATAATTATAAATAAATTGGATTTTTTATAAAGCTATAATTGTTATATAAGGAAGCTAGTAAAATTGTAATTTTACTTCGCTCATTTAAAAAAGAATTAGTTTAAATATTTTAATTGCCTTCAACTATTTATTATAATTGAAAACGTAGATTAATTGATAAAAGTTTGTTTTTGGTTCAAGGGAATTTTCTTGTTATAATAATTTTACTTAAATTAAGTCGTATTACTGTTTATAAAAGATTCATACTATTTACATAAAATAAAATTTCAATTATAATTATTAATGAAATAAAAATAGATAAGTTAATCTAATAAAAAATATAATATACTGAGAGTTTAGTTAATAATATATAATAAATTAATCTCTATTAATATATATAATAAAAATGAAGTTATTAGTATACATAACATTACGTGTTTATTAAATTATATAATGGTATTTGAATGTTAGTATAATACATAATATAATTAATATAAATTCAAGTTAAATACCTCTTATGACAGTTTAGTTTACCTTAAACAATAGTTACCCTGATGGGAGTATTTTTAACACTTATATTTGTTGTCTAATATTGAATAATAGTATTTCCTATAATGATAATTATATTTTTAAAATCAAGTTTATTTAATACTTTTCTTAATTTTTTTGTCAAACATCAAACGGAAGGATTATTTGATAGCAAACTAATCAATGTCGTGTATCATGCATCAAGAATTTCTCATCTCTCGAATAATTGACTATTATTTGGAATTTTATTCCTCCAGATATTATATCAGCAATACCAGGGGCGCGGCTCAAGAGCTTTTAGGGCTTAAAACAAATTTAAGAATTAGACTTATTTTATTAATAAAATAAATTTTTAAAAATTATTATAATTTTATTTTTCAAGCTTTTATTTAATATTATTATAAATTTATTTAAAATAAGACTAAATTAAAACAATAAAACCTGATTGTCAAGAAAATAAATTTAAAACTTGCAATCTTTACGTCTCCAAAAGTGACAGCTTTGCAAAGAAACTGCGAAATACTGTTTAATAAGTATGGGTAATGGAGGATGAGTAGTGAAGGAAAAACTCTTGTACCAGTGCCTCTGTATTGAGAAAATAAAAAGCTTCATACCAAAGCTTATGCGTTAGAAAAATAGAAATATTTGCTTCCTCCTCTACTATGCGTTAGAAAAATAGAAGTCTTTACTTCTTCCTCCACTTCCACTCCAAGATTGTTATTAGTTAAAAAAATACAAATTGAAACAAAATTAAACAAGAAAAGAGTAGTTAGAGAAGAAAGAAGTAACAATTAAATAAAAAGTAAAAAATTATTTAATTTTTTTTTTTTGCTATTCAATTATTTTTTAAAAAAATAAATTAAAATACGTTTATTATCTATTAGTTAAGAGTTACAGCTTATTAAATATTATTTATAATATCAATGAAAAATTAATAATTACTTAAAAAAATTTGAGAGCCTAAAACTCTTGCTTTACTTAATCGATCAAACTCACTGATTTAACAATCCCAAAACTTTGCATCAATAGCAAATTCATATTTATATTCGTCATATATATTTTAGGGTGTTGTTAACTTTATTCTTTAAAATTAAAGATAAGTAATTAATAATAATAAAATCTTATTAAAAAAAGTATTTATTATATTTTTATAACTTTAATACAATAATTATGTATTTTTTTTATAAAATTTTTTTATTTATGTATCCTTAAATTCGCAATGTAGTGTTTTTACAAAATTTGATTTATTTCAATTGATACAAGATTCAAGCATACTTATCCTTCAAAGTAAATTCCTAAAACCACGAACAATAAATTACTCGGAAAAGTAACGAATAAAACCTCAGAACTTTCGGAATTAATAGCTTACAACATTGAGTCAATCATGCAAATTATTAAAAAATAATTTGATCGAACTACCGATTGTGAGCCTAAACTCATTATTGGTCCTTATTTAGTAAAGAAAATTCGATTTACAACGTGAACGGGTAATGCGTAAGCTGGATCAATCGGTTTCAGTCCCGGATATTCAAGCAGTGAAAGTCCTGCAAGAGCAAACAACTCATCTTCAGCATCCTGGGTTTATAGTATAAATGAAACTAGAAACACATTAATAAAAGAACTGCGCTGTCAGACAGGGACAAGATACAAGATATATGATCAGCATTGTGCTAGGCCCCGAGAGTTTGCACATACAAATAGGATAATTTTATTGATAGAAATTTTGGATGGAACCAGAATTAGAGTTCTAGCAATAGAATTCACAGGCCTAAGCCCTAACAGTGTATGTTCCTCTCTCAAACATATGCAATTGATAAACTACCCCTAACACACACAGGGTTTCCGCCTTTTCAAAACACAAGGAATAACAATCTGATACCTTCCTTCCCTTTTACAACTCTGTAACACAATTCATATATCACTATCACATTTTGACTTATAACTGCTTAACACGAAATTAATATAAAAACAACTGCTTAGTAAGTTCCTGATACAGAATTATTACTGCCTAATTCAGAGCTTAGCTTATCACACTATAATGGGGAAAAAGTGATAGAGATGAAGACTACATCAGGATAACCTGAATGCATGGGAAAGGAAGAGGTGAGGTGGGTCCCTACTTCCCATATTAACCAAGGGAGCCGCAGATTACAAGATTTTAGCACAATTAAATAAAAACCAAATAGAAGGGACAAACAAGATAAAAAGATAGATGTCATACCAGCCACACCGAAGTAAGTATGAAAGACATCCACAGCATCATCTGGCCTGTCTGAAATTCCACCATTTTCTGTGTCCTTACAGTTTCAACATGCACAATATCAGAGATACTAACTTGACAATAGTTAATACTCCAAAAGAAGAAACAGAAACTTGCAGATTTATAAACACAGAATTGACGTTCAAGTAACTAACCTGGCAATCTAAGATAAACTTTATAAGTTTATCTTTACTGATCCAATGAACTCTATCAATCATGGTCAGGCTAGAAAGAACCCACCATGAGTAACAGACCTAAGATGATATAAAAGCTAGTAAGAGAAACTGAGAACTAGAGTATCTAAAGCAATCAACATAAATTTGAAAAGATTTACTCACATCAGGGAGTTTCTCGGGACGGCCATTCATACCTCCAGATTTAACTTGTCTCTCACATAACCACCAACCAAGTAGGTCCTTGTCAACAAGATCAAGTGACCCCGTTAAGGCAAGGGCCCCTACACAACAGAAAACTGACAATGGGAAAAGTAAATATCTTACAAGGATGCTTCAAGTCTACAACTCAAGTCATTCTTTCATTCAAAATTCAGAAAATAGAAAAATCAAAATTGATTTATTACATGCATTCCTTGGGAGAACGATAAGCACGATACATTGTATCAAATTTTATTACTAAAGGATTTGGCAATCACAATTTGGTTAATGAGTTCAATGTAAACCCTAGATATAAAATTATACAAATTTAGATCTAAAATGGGTAAATTTTATCCACAAAAGGTGTACATTTCTATCAGGAAAATTACCGAAATATTGAATAATGTAAATACTAGGTGGACATAGCTAATACTACTAGTCGCATTGTAGTTATACACTTAATTGCACCCAAATTCTCTTAGTAAATAGACTTGAGCAGTTATTTAAAATTTTAAACTACAGCAATTAGGTGGACCCAACATACTTTTGTATTCCCATTCAGTTGGTTTCATGTTTCTCTTTTTCTCTCATTCTCTATTTGGTGTCAATTGCCACTTGCCAGGGGGGAAGATCCAAGCTGATACTGTCTGAGTCATTCCAGAAGTTTCAGCCATCATCCATACATCCCATCATTGCTTCACTCAGTGTTCTGTCTAGGACTACGTAAGCTTCAAACCTTGGACCTTAAACCCACAATCAATAGTCATCTTCAGATTCTTCCAATCAGTCAAAGGACATCTATTGATGTCTCATGCACCCCTCATACAACATCTTTTCACTGTAGCTCTCACACACCAGCACATAACATAGCAGCACTTGCTTTGCTTGCTCCAATTCAGTCATCACTTGGCTAAACCAGATTAACTCTGTTGTGTCAACAACGATCAGGCATTTTTCTTTCCTGCTAGGCTGGCTGCAATGATTTCCCCATTAGTGATATTTTGTACTTCAGTTTTGAGTTTCCTTTAGTCCAAATGGTCAAGTCTCAGCCTGGGAGCCAACTCAAAGAGCATTTTCTTTCCTGCCACTGCTAAATAGATGTTTGTGGGACAAGGTGATGCAGAACAGATGCAGCTGATGTGTGATAATCAAGCAGCACTACACATGATCTCCAATCCAGTTTTTCATAAAACAAGTAACCTACTGAGGTGTAAGTACTTGTAAGATCATTTGCCTACCAAAATGACTAGCTAGCAGACATTGTCACTAATTCTCCCAAATTTCATCAAATTATAGTTAATAGGTTTGGTGGATATAATATGCACTATCCAGCTTGGGGTGAATGTTGAATAATATCAATTGTACTGCAGCTTTACTGCACTTGTACTTTCTTTGAAAATAGACCTGTAAATGACAATATAAACCCAATATACTTGCATATTCCCATACAAATTGGTTTTCTCTCTTTCCCTCTCATTCACTGAAGTTTACATAAACAACTTCTTTTTGTGAGTTGATCCTATCGGACATTTTTATTTGCTCTTTTGAGTCTAGCAAACACTTCTACAAAAACTCATTATTAGTTTAAAAAGAAAGCATAAATTTCCATCTTTGAAAATTTCCTTTTTCTGCACATCCTGGTTAGAAGTATAGTAAAAAAGCATTATGTGTCTTAACCTAACACCTTCAGTTTTTGGGATAGTTAGTTCATGACAATCCTAAATAAACTTTTTAGCAATTCCACAAATAAATCCTATTCACATCTAATCCTCAAATAGCACATAAAACAATCAATTACTGAACCATCCAAAAGTTAAGGTAAACATTGCCAAAACAGAGCTCCAAATTATGGATGTAAGCCTCTTAAAGAGATTATCCAAACAACATACTTTTATTAACCTCTTAGAGTTAAAGGATTATTGTGATAGTATTAGTCACAACTCACAAATCATAAATTTGAATTATTAAACTAGAAAATATCAATTAAAATAAGATGGTGACTTTTAAATAATAAATATGATATTTATCTACATTATTCCCCAATTGTAATATTTTCACTACAAGAAGATTTCTCCTAATGAAATATTGTTTTTAACCCTCTCTTAGTATGTTGCTTTGGACAAAAAGATTCTTGAATCCAAAACCTTAAATAACATATTCAAATTATGCCCTCACCACATAAAGCACTCCCCTCAAGTGGGAAAGAAATAAACAACACAAATTTCGAAGGGAATGAGAAGTACACATTGAGTAACATAGGGAAATTGATAATTAAGTAAAGATCATGCATAATATAGGACATACTTTGACCAGCATGAGATTCCCCACCAGGAGTGCAACCAAAACCACCATCCATATTTTTGCAGCTTATAATGTACTTCACAGCCTTCTCCACATTGATTTTATCCAAGCGATGTAATATTGATAGACAACAAATGGCAATATATGAGAACCTAAGACAAATAAGTCGGTGAATTTTAGTAAAAAATAAAGTAAGCTCTTATACACTCGGTAATCAAAATGGACCTTAAGAAAAATACCGTGTATCAACTTCACCCCACATATCCCCTGAAAAAGATCCATCTTCATTTTGCAGGCTGACAACATCTGATGTAAATATTAAGAAACACAAGATCTAATATACTTTGCAACTTATTAAATTTCACTATCATAATTTTAGAAACTAATCTATCAAACTGTATCGAAAGTCATACTAATTTTTTTTTATGAAACATAGTAAGCCATTTAACGACAATGCCAACTAAAAAGCTACATATCCTAATAAACAGAAATATGGTAGTTAAAAATTTTGCAAAAAGAACAAAACTTCTCCAATACCACAAAACATTTGCGAATACAGATTACAGAACCTTCAAAGCAAAGCCAATATGTGTGCAAGGATACAATCTGTCACCTTATCTACATCAAGAACATCCATCCTATCAAAGAGAGCCAACACCTGCACAGCACTTAATGTATACAGGATGTGTGGATCATGTCCAACATTTCCACCAAATCCCCCTTCATAACAACAAATATCTCATGAGATAATTATCCATGTCACTGACATCATAAAAAAAATTGTAATTCTCAGGAAAGTATAAAACGTGGAACAACCTGATTCATGCTGACAACTCATCATCCATGAAACAACCTCATTAACATCCACAGTGTCAAGCTTTCCTAGAAGATCCAGAGCAGTCAATCCCCAATATGCCCCATTCATTCTTAGATGCTCCATTACCACAGATTCAAAATTATCTTTCCTCTGGAAACCAAAAAAGGTATATGAAAATAGAAAAATGAAGACCCACAGCATATAAAGCATAAAAGACGAGTTTTTGGAAAAGAATGTAAAAATGGGAAGCACACCTTTTCAACTGATAATATATATTGAACATGTTTGTCGGCAACAAGCTCTGCCATCTCGCGAGTAAACTTTAGCAACAACAAAATTAGAAATATTAGCATTAGAATCAAAGGTTTAAGATAAGGCATAAGTAAAAGTGAATTGAAAGAGGAACAGAGAGAGTGTGAATATCTCACATCAGTTGCAGATTGTGGCACAGAGAGAGGAAAGATTGATTTTGTGATGAAGGATGATCCAGCACAACGTTAGCATTACTAAACACAACAAAAGATCAGTCCTTTGAAGTTTGAATTGGAATGCGGAATAGTGGTTGGATGGTGAGTTTCAGACCTTTCCGCTAAGAAAAGGGCTTTTGACTGCATAGACTATGCACTACTCTCTTCAACTTCCCAATTTTTATTTTAATTAAAATATATATTTGATCATAATTTAGTAATTTACACTTATTTATAAATGATTTTTGTATTTAAACATTGTAAGCTCTAATTCTTGTCCTTCCTTAATTTCTGATAAAAACAATTGTATATAATATTTTTTATTAAAAATTGTAGTATTAATTGTATATTAAACTTGACTATTGAAAGTATGATGGCGTAAAAATTTAATAAATAAATTTTTTTTGCAAAGTTTGTTTATAAATAAAGAATAAAAAAATATAATAATTAAATACAAATAATATATGGTAAGAATATAATAAAATTTTATTATATTTTATTTTATATGAGAATGAAAATAATAAAGTAAATAACTTTATATCAACCTATATAATATTTGAAATAAAAAATAAAAATATACATAAATTATATTAAAAATAATAATTTTTTATTTAAATTACTATAATTTTAAAATTAATTTTTTTATTTTTCAATAGAAATATACATAAATGTTAAAAATTATTTGTGTTTAAATAATATTAAAAAATTTAATCATAGTAATTTTCTTTAAAATTATTGTTTTACAGTTAATTTTTTTTTGCTAGTAATTTTAATTTTTTAATAGATTATAAAAAATAAAAATATATTTTATAAAATAATTAAAATATGTTTTATAAAAATTATTTTATGAAATTATTTCTTAAAAATATATTTCATTAAAAATAGTGCTCACACGATATTTTTATAAACAATATTACAGTTATATTTAATAAATAATTAATTTTATAAAATATTAAGGAAGATATGAAGTATGTAAGAAGGAAAAGAAGCAAATATTTATGTTCTGGTAATTCATAACTTTTTTTTAATTAAAATTTGAACTAGATAAAAGAATAAGTTATTACATTTTCACTTTGAAGATAAAAATTTAAACTATCACAAGAAATAAGATAAAATGACAAGTTCTTCTTAATTTAACAAACTAAATTTTAACTAGAATGAAATAAATTATTTTATTATGTCTTCTTGCTAATTATCAAACAAGATCTTTGTAATTCAAATTTAAATAAAGCAAGTCAATATTAAGACAAGTCATTATTTTATATTATGTATTTATTTTTCAATTCAATATTAATTTAAATTTTGAAAATTATATTATTTTTATATAATAAAATATTTATTAATAATAATTATAAGATTTAATTTTTTCAAAATTTAGAAAAAAAATATTAAACTTAAAAATAATTATATAATATTATACAAAGATAGATAGATAATAGAAAAAGCCATATGGGTCAAAAAGTCCCATGTATCGGGTTCAGAGCTTTATGGGCAAAAACTTTTTATTCAAAGGATATGTTTCACTAATGGAAATGTACACGGTAGCATTAGTTTCATAGCAAAAAAGTCAGACCACAGGTGTAGAGAAGCAAAAGTTTCTAAATAAGAAAAGTTAGTCATTAACTGCAGGATAAGATACAAAGCTTATACCAATACATCATATTAAACAGACTTCCACAAAAGCTCAAAAAAAATTTTTGACACCAAGATCTTGAATTGGATTCAGGACCACATGCTTAAGGGATTTAAGCCACTTCCACTCAGATAAACACAACTTTGTACATTATATTAATATTATAAACATATTTCTCTTACAAGTAGAGATAGAAACAGTGAAAACTATTTGATGACAGGAATCTATAGCTTGTTTTGACCTTTTTAATAAATGAACAAGACTTAAATTTTTTTTTAAGATATGTCTAAATAAATAAGTCAGGTTAAACTTGATAGGCCAATATATATATATATATATATATATATATATATAAAATAGAGCTGTCAAAATATGTTTAAATAATAAAATTATTTAATAATATATTTTTAATTTTGTTATATTAAATTAATATATTATGTTATGATTTTTTTAATTTATAATTATAATAAATAGAAATTATATTCTATTAAAAATTAAAAATATTTATACTCAATTATACTTTTGAAATAATAAATTATCATATTTATTTCATTTAAATAAGTTAAAAAATAGTTAAAGTTTTAAACAGTAACAAAATACAATCAAAATTGAATGAAATAAAATTTAAAAAATAAAATAATAATATTATATTAATATATTTTTTATATTCTTAATTTTATTATTATTAATATTTAATTATTATATTAATATATTATGTTTAATTTTTTTTCTTTATAATAAAAAAATATTCTTTAAATATGAATTATATTTTATTCAAAACTAAAATTTTATAAAAAATTAATAGAAAAATAAAATAAAATAATTCCATATATAATATATATATAAGATCATATAGTAAATAATATAAATAATATAATTTTCACTAAATTATATATAATAATATATACTTTTTTGTGACTTAATACGTATTTTATTTTTACTGATATAAATCTTTTGAGTAAAATACATAAAAAAAAATTTTTAGATATAAAGTCTACAACACACAATAACACACTTAAATATAAATAAATCAATTTTAAATAATTATTTTTCATAAATTTAACGTATATGTAAATAAATTTTTTTAAAAAAAATATAGTTGTTAATATATATTTGAAATTCAATAATTAATAAATATTTACATAAAAAATATAAATTAAAAATTAAATTATTAATTAATTTATATAATATATATATATATATGTGTGTTTCAATGTATTGTATCAGTAATATTTTTTATATTTTATTAATGTTATAGTATAATTAATTTTACATATATTTGTTAATATAAAATAAAAAATTAATAAATAAAATAAAATATTTTATAATTATTTTTTAAATTTAGTAGTTATTATTATTATTATCATCATTATATATATATATATATATATATATATATATATATAGCGTATGAAGTTTAAATTTTTATATTAAATTTTATTACATATTTTTTAATTAAGATAAAAGTTTAGAAATATATGTTATTTTAATTTAAATATAAATTTTATTAATTCTTACTATATTCATATGTTATTTTTTGTATCTTTAAATTTTATAATATAAATATTTTTTATTTATAATTTTTACAATGACTATATATTTACTTTTTTAAATATAATAATTTTTTTAATGGATTTAATAAATTTTGTGAGTGTTATTTTTTGTTATCAATTTTATGTTTACTATAATTTTATTTATTAATATAAGATGTCTTTACACAAACAAAATATAATTGTCATAAAAAAATAATTAAAATCTTTAATACTTTAATTATAGTTGTTAACATACATTTAAAATTAAATAATTTGCAAATACTTACATAAATAAAAAATTAAATTATTAGATAATTTATCAATTTATATTTTATGTATAAGTATATGTTTTAATTTATTATACTAGTAATTCTTTTTTATATTATATTAATGTTATAGTGTTATTAATTTTACGTGTATTTATTAATTTAAAATAATAAATTAATGAAATAAATAAAATTAAATATTTTATAATTTTTTTAATTTAATAGTTATTATTATTGTCATTATATATATATATATATTATATTAAATTTAAATTTATTTATTTTTTAAAATATAATAATTTTCTTTTAGCTGATTCAACAAATTATATGAATGTTATTTTTTATGATCAATTTTATGTATTTACTATGACTTTATTTATTAAGTAAAAAATGTCTTTAAACAAATAAAATATGATCCTAAAAGAAAACTAAAATCTTTAATACTTTAATAATTTTTAAAAATAAATCAAGAAAAATAAAAATAAAAATTTATTTAATATGAAACATTTATAATTAGTGCTCAAGTAATATTTTAAAAATTATTTATAAAATTATATAAAAATTATTACAATTATTAATAATAGATAAAAAGTAAAAAAAATATGTAAATTAATTTGATAATAAAATATGTATATTTTTATTAATATTAAAATATTTTTTATAATAGGTTTTTTTAACCGGCTTTAGATCAGGTTAAGCCACCTAAATAGGCTAGATCAAACTGAAAATAAGGTGTAACATACCAATTCAAGTCTAATAATTATGTTATAGGTAAGAACTGTTTAAAGTAAAGTCAAGTCTCGCCTGTTTCCATTCCTACTTAGCAGGCAACATGAATCACGTAGCATCCTTAGACACAATGATATTTTTGGACTCAATTAATTACACCTGGTCAGCAAACATGTTAAAAAAACCATATGTTTGAAAATGCACTCTTCTGAAAGGGATTATGTTGTTAAAAAAAACCATGTTAAACTATTATGTCACTGAAGAATGTACATTTAAATATTATTTGATAAATGTATTAAAACGAAATGGATTATATTATATATTACAAACTCAAACCCAAAGATGATCATATATCTACGCACAACAGTAAAAGGGCTCAAGTTACCCAGGGCATGAATCTAGACAATAAACATGTGCCAATTTGCGATGCCTTTGCGGATAAGTGTACATTTATACTCCAAGAGTACATACTGGGATTTAAAGATGAAAGTTTGTGTCATGTTCATAAAATTTTATATTTGTTTAGTATCATTTTGGACTTTTCCATAGAATTTATATATTCTAAACCAAACAGTACTCATTTTGACATGTACAGTAAGAATTAAGACAAGTGCAGATAAAAAGTCGATGTTCATTTAATCAAAAAGTCACGAAATCAATTGGGGTATTTTATAATATTCTAACACATCATATAATAACTAATATTAATCGCTTCAAACTGAGAACTCAGATTCTGAATTTGATAGAACACTCTGCTATTGATAAAGATCTGCATAAATTTTCATACTGCTGTGACTTAACATTATTGTCGACTTCAATAATAGTCCACGGCAGGACCACAAAATGCTCAAGATAATGTACTTATAAACAAAAGCAGCCAATGTGTAATAATTAAAAGATTTACCCCAATGTTTATTAGATGTCATGAATTAATTAGAGCCTGCTTAAATTTTAACAAAAGCTTTTTCAAGAGCTGAACATGATATGCACATACATAATATAACAAACTCAACCAGCTGTGACTCAACCAGTTGTTGCATCCTCAGAAACTACTATCATGAACTGCAGGATCCCTTACATACATCCAATTGCTCTTGAAAATGTTTACAATTGATATAATAAAACGGAGTTGTCATTTTATGTTGTGAGCTAATTCATTTGTTTCATAATTCATTGATATTTCTTGCAATTTTCAATCTTCAGATAAATTTGAGTTTTAATTTGAACAGATAAATCTTCAGACAAGTTCTTTTGATATTTCAAGCATTATAATTTCTCCTTCACAAAATATTGCTGCAAGCCAAACACATTTATCTCAAGTCATATAACAATCACCTAGTATCCAAACCTTTGTTGATTATGCAATTCAAACGATAAGACAATGCTCCAAAACATGAATGTTTAATTAAACGAACTCGCAAATTTTATTCTACCCTTCTCCAAATGGAATCATTTATTAGGTAGACAATGTTGCTGATTCCATTATATGAAAATCCAGATCCATGCTAACTTGAAACTTAAATTTAATTTCAGAAAGAAAAGAAAAAAGAGTACCTCAGCTAGAGTCGGGGATTTGTCAGCAGCTTCCGCCATTGATGAGGAAGAGAGAGATGGAAAGGGGAAATTGGATTTGGGCTATGAGCACCTCAAAACGGTGTTTTTACGCTCAGCTCCCATTGCATAATTATTACTAGAAACTAGTAGAGTACGATGCTCGCTCCCTAACTTTGGATTTAGAGAATTGGGATTTTGGTTGATTTGGGTGTTCCACAATTGGGATTAGGTTCCCAGGACTTTGATAAAATTTGAGTGTTCTCAGGCGGCTACCCCACGGGTATATCTTGTCTTTTTGACAGCTCTATTTAACAATATTGTAGATATGTAAAATCATTAGTATTTAACAATAGTTACTTCATATATATATATATATATATATATATATAAATTGATTACACCTCTTTATTATTGAGTATATTAAATTTAGATACATAACTTTATCTACTTATTACTCTATACATTAAAATTTAGAATGTATCCACTTACTTGTTACTCTGTACATTAAAATTTAAAACGTATAACTTATGAATTAAAATTATATTTTATCACATTTATTATGTTTTAATTGTATTTAAAGAATATTTATTAGTATTGATGGTTATATTATGTTACAAATAATAATATAAATATTTATCTATAAATTAGCTTAAATTATCGTTATTAAAATTAATTATAATATTTTCATAATATACAGATTAAAATTATTATTATATTTTAATATAATCTATATTTTATTATATATTTCAAATACTAAAATATATCTTAAATTAAAAAAATTAAACTTACAAAATTGTTAGTTTATAATATAGGTTGTTAAATTAAATTTATAATAAAAGATAAATTTGTATATTTAAATTATTTTATTAATTAGTTTAATATAATCTATATTTTAATATATATTTTAAATATTAAAATATAATTTGAATAAAAAAATATATTTATAAAATTATTTATTTATATTATATATTATTAAATTAAATTTATAATAAAAATATAATTTTATATATTTAAATTATTTTATTAAATATTTTAATATAATTTATATTTCAATATTTATTAACAATACTAAATTGTAATTTAATTTAAAAATACTACATTTACCAAATTATTAATTTATAATATATATTGTTAAAAATAAGTTTTTAAATTTAAATTATTTTATTAATTATTTTAATATAATATATAGTTTAATATATATTTCAAAAATTAAAACTTACTTTAAAATTAAAAAAATATACTTACCTAATTATTAATTTATATTATATATTGTTAAGATCAAATAAAATAATCTATATTTTAATATGTACTTCAAATATTAAATGTAATTTAAATAAAAAAATATTTATAAAATTATTTGTTATATTATATATTGTTAAATTAATTTTTTAATAAAAATATAATTTTATATATTTAAACTATTTTATTAAATATTTTAATATAATTTATATTTCAATATTTATTAACAATACTAAATTGTAATTTAGTTTGAAAATATTATATTTATTAAATTATTAGTTTATAATATATTGTTAAATTAAATTTTTAATAAAAAAATAAGTTTACGAATTTAAATTATTTTATTAATTATTTTAATATAATATATATTTTAAAAACTAAAACTTATTTTAAAATTAAAAAAATTATATTTATCTAATTATTGATTTATATTATATATTGTAAGTTTTTTACAGAAATAAAATATTTTAAATGATAAATTACGTATATATCTTAAAAAATTTATATATAAATATCTTAAATTAAATTATATAAAAGTTATTAAAATTAATTATAATTATTTTTTATAATAGAATAAAAAAATCGATTATAAATCTACTTTTAAAAGTTAATTATAATTATTTTTTACAATACAGCAAGAAAGTCGTTTACAATCGTTCAATGTTAAAGGAGAGTAGATTATCGACTTCTGCCACTGGGAGGACATTCTGAGATTGGTTTACCTACACTACTTTTGCTGTCTTTATTGTCTGACTAAACCTGCAGCTTCTGACTCCCCAACCGCATAAATCATAATCAAAAATCATAAAACCCCTTTCATTCCCATTAATTTGCATCTCAAAACATCAAATCCAAACACAAAAACCTTTGGAATGATGTTAATAAATGTGTGTTCAGAGAAAGCAGGCTTTGGAATCAGCCCTCGCATTTCATTCTCGCAAGACCCCAAAAACACAATCTCAGTGGAAAGCCCTCGTAAGCAAGACACGTGCATGACTCAGGCTCAGACTTCGTTTTCTGCATCACAAACGGCGTCCCACACAAACTCTCTTCAGCGGACGAGCTTTTCTCCAACGGCAAAATCGTTCCCAAGCAAATCACCAGAATTTCCAAAGCCCCACCAAACTAGCCCCATCATCAACCCCATTTCAACACGCAAAAGAAGAGGCTCAAAGAGTTCTTGTCAGAGCCAGATGATGACGACACCCAAGAACATGATAAGCCCAATTCTTCTTCCAAACTCTTCTGGCGTAGCAGCAGTTTGAACTGTGATGGGGCCACACGTGGGAAACCAATCTCAGAACGTCTTCTCAATACAAACTTAAGTAGATTATATTCAACTTTCTTGTTGTATTTGTAAAAAATATTATAATTAACTTTAATTTTAATACAGCAGTCGATCATAATTGATTTTTTTTATTATATTATAAAAAATAATTATAATTAACTTCTGTATACCTGTGTAAAGTTTATTTTAATTAATTTTTATATAATTTAATTTAGAATATTTATGTACAAATTTTTTTTAAAACATCTATGTAATTTATTATTTAAAATATTTTATTTTTGTAAAAAATTAATATATTGTTAAGATCAAATAAAATAATTTAAAATTACTTTTATAATTTACATAATTTATGAATTATAATCATAATTAATTTATACTTATTATTTTTGAATTATATTTTAAAAAAATATTAGAATTGATAATTATATAATGTTAAAAATGTTAATAATAAAACTACTGTAAATAATATTTAATAAAAAAATATTAAAATTTATTATAAATAATTTAAATAAATTTTAAAAAAATTTATGTTAAATGTTGAAAATAGAAAAAATAATATTGATTAAATTATACAAAAATACTTTTAAAAAAATTTTATGAAGTTTTCGAATTATTTTTTAATTATAAATAAAAATGTATATTTATTTTTAACTTCTATTTAACATTTGAATGTTAATTATTGTTTTATATTATATATTATTAAATTAATTTTTTAATAAAAAGATAAGTAAATTATAATACAAATGAAAAGATAACTTTTATTATGTTAATTTTATATTTTTTAACTTTTCATATATCATCGAGTAGAACTTTATCTTTATTTATATAAGTTATGTTTACATAACTTTAAAAAATTTGTTCACGGTTTTTTTTTTGTTATTTTTTTTTTTATTTTGCAATTCTATTAGCTGTCAAGAATTACCTACTCACGTAAGTGCATGTATTTTCGAGTTTAATATTTTTTACTTGGTTTATATATTTTAATTAGATTTTTTGAGCAAGCATAAAGCTGTTTTTTTTAAATGATATCACGTATTAAATTTTATTTTGAATTGATTAATTTGTATCAAATTTATCATTATTTTTTATGCTTTTGTAAGAGAATAACAAGTTGCAATGAAGATAAATAAATTTTTCTTAACGATCTGAATTCAACAACAGATGATTGTATCAAACATATATCTCCAACCGTGAAAACAACAAACCAAAAAAAAAAAGAAATTAATGTATAAATTATAATTTTGTAATGTATTGTTCAAATTTCTTAGATAATACAGTAATTTATATTTGATATTTTTTTTAGGCTGCAACTTGAAGAAGATGAAGCAGAAAATAGAGAATAAAAGACAACAATAGAAAATTTAGAAGATTGAACTATTTTTATTGCAATATTGTATAAATACTTTTAATATTATGTAGAATTTGAAAAGTAAAATGTTATCAAACATTTAAGTTTTTTATAAAATAATTTTGTTATCTTATTATATACATTTCTCTTACTTTATTATTATTATTATTATGTATTGACGTTATTCTTAACATAAAATTTGCCTAGATTTTATATGTGACTCAGAAACTTTATATTATATCATCTTCTATAATTTTAATTGATATAAAGATAAATATTTATATTAAATAAAATCATTCTTCTCTTTTAGTTTCTATCTAAATTTTAATTGAAAAATTTCTAACTACTATTTTTTTTCTCTTCTTCTATTATTTTAATTTTTTTTAAAAATAATTTAATAGAAATTAATATATCATAATTATGTATAATTTATTAATGTAGACAATATTTTTATTTATATTTTATATTATAATAATTATGATGATGAATTGTAATTAAGGAAAATTTATTAAAATGATGGTTATATTATATTAAAAACTGCTATAACAATATTGTTGCAAATGACATGATGCTTGATAAAAAATTATTAAATTTATAAATGTAAAAAATTTTAAAAATATCATTGTCAAGTAAAATTGTACCTAATGAACAAAAATAATTAAGTAGTAAAAAAATATTAATTTCTTAAGTAACATTTTAATTGAAAATAAAATTATATATTTACTTTAAGTTATACTTAAATTTGAGTTATATTAATTTAAATTATTTTATTAAATACTATATATACAATCTATATTTTAATTTGTACTTTAAATACTAAAATGTACTTTAAATTAAAAAAAATTACATTTACAAAGATAATAATTTATATTACATGTTGTTAAGTTAAATTTCTTATGAATAGGAAAATTTATATATTTAAATTATTTTATTAATTAGTTTAAAATAATCTTTGACATATACTTTAAACTCTAAAATTTAATTTTGCACTAAAAAATTTACACTTACAAAATTATTATTTTATATTATATATTGTTAAATTAAATTTCTAATGAAAAGATAACTTTATAAATGAAAATACTATCTATAAAATAAAATTAAAATTACAAATGCAGAGAACTATATTTTTTAAGAAAAAAATTTATTCATTTTGTGGACTTAAAGTTAGTTCCCAAGATGTAAATCAAAATACAGGTATTATATATAAAAATATTAATTCAATACAAATATTTTTTTATTAATATATATTTATTATGTTATATTCTTCAAATTATACATTTTTCAATTTTAAAAAATATTTAAATCAGGTTCACTAAATATTGACTTTTTGTTTTAGTAAGACCATGTGATATATCAAATATTAGACTAT